GACGGGGACGGGTTGCTGTGTATGGAGGATTTTGTGAGGATGGTGGAAGGAGGCGAGGAGGAAGAGAGGGTGAAGGATTTGAGAGAGGCTTTTAAGATGTACGAGATGGATGGGGGTGGGTGTATTACGCCGAAGAGCTTGAAGAGGATGCTTAGTAGATTAGGTGAGTCCAGGAGTTTAGATGAATGTAAGGTTATGATTGCCCAGTTTGATCTCAATGGTGATGGGGTTCTGAACTTTGATGAATTTAGAGCCATGATGTTATGATCACCCCATATACATGCTTCTTAATACTTATGTGATCAGATTTATGTAATTATATATGTTTAGTTCCTTCATTCATTCATTGCACTCACAGCATCATATCAGGGTATGGTGACACTCCCCTTCCCCCTATTTCCCCATGTTAAGAAAAAAAAAAAAATTCAATTCATTCATGATTTTAATAAAGAAAAGTATTTGATTTTATTTTTTAATTTATGATTAAAGTGTTTTTAAGTTAATTTTTAAGTATTTTGAAATTGCTTTATTCTTAAACTATATTAAAGACACATAGTCAATGCTAGAACTCAAAAACAATGACAAGACTAAAAAATGTAAGACAATGCCAAGACCCAAGAATGTCTTTGCTTCAAATTCTAAGGGTTCAAATATTTATCACATCCATAGAATTTGCAGGTAATTTTGTAATTAGCTTAATCTGTTTTTTAATTCATTGATTTGGGTGTAGTAGAGCTACATCTTTGACTGATTCATATAATATTACCAAGGCAGGCTCACGTTTCAATGGAGCAACCCAAACAACTACTAAAAAATATGTATAAGAAATAAAACGTAATTACCGGAGAAGCAATTTCTCAGACATTCTAGGTATGTATTAAGTAAATTCACAATGCTATGCCTTAAACACAGAGAAGTACTACTTTGATTCATTATCTAAAGAAAAGTAGAAACAGAGGCAATCCAAGCAGAAAACTGCCCTCTTTTCCACTCAGTTTCTTAGTTACGTTTATGCATTGCCAAGCTAACCAAGGAGACTAGAACATTTTAAGCAACAGAAAAACTATAGTAGCAATAGCCTATTTCTGGATCCCAATTGATATATTTATTCACAGAATGGCTGAGGTTTCCTTTACCAGAGGTTTGGAACAGCTTTCACTGATTAGCATATGCTCGCCTTCCTGCGATTCTTCCACCAGTCTTGACAATTTCTCGACTATCTCCCCGGCTGTTGGCCTCAAAGTAGGATCTTCCTCTGTGCAAGCCTTTGCAAGATTGGCCAGTGTCACTGCTCCATCAAATGAATAGTTCTCCCCCAATGCATTGTCCATCCATTCCCTCAGCTCATCTGCGCTTTCTGATTGCAGTATTGTCTTGATCTTTTCTGTCAGCCAAACGCTGCCTCCTCCTTTCTTCTCAGGTCTGCTTGTTGGAGTTTGTCCAGATAAAACCTCCAACAGAACTACCCCATAAGCAAAAATGTCCATACCTGGGGAAATTACACCTTGGTGAAGATACTCAGGAGACAAATATCCCAAACTCCAAGAAACAGGATTGGTTGAAAGATCAGGACACTCGGTCTCATCTTGAACACATCTTGCCATTCCAAAGTTACCAATTTTAGCATTGAAATCTTCATCAAGGAAGATGTTCCGGCTCTTGATGTTTCGATGAACATAGCTTGGATTCATGACGTGGTGCATAAACTGTAAGGCCACGGCTACATCAAGGCATATCCTCATCCTCTGGCTCCATGTCAAGAAACAGTAACAGGAGGAAATGAACTGGTTCTTCATTGCCAATCCGCCGTGGAGCCAATCCTTCAGGGACCCGTTTTTAGCATAGTCGAATACAAGGAACGAATTTGGACCCTCAGTCATACAGGTTCCCAATAGCCTGATTATGTTGGGATGATAGTGAGTTGCATCCTGGAAAAATCTTAGCTCAACCTTGGCAATGTTTTCAGTTTTTGTTCGCTTTATTGCCACGTTTTTTCCATTGAGTCGACCGTGATACACAGTTCCTTCAATGTGATTGCCTGAATTGAAATCCTCGGTAGCTTTTCTGAGCTCATCAATGGTGTACATATCCAGCAGCGGCTTCCGGGGTGTTGTGTGAAGGATCTGTCCATCTAGAGGGTCTTGAGATCCAAAAGAGACTTTCTTATCACTCACGGTTCTTACACTTAAACTCAGCTGCTGCAGCTCAACATCTGTATCCTTAGCTGAATTTTTCTCCTTTCTCTTCTTCCTAAGGATAACCAACAAGACTGCTGCAGTGGCAATGACAGCTCCAACTACAACCCCAGCAATGCAAACTCCAATCTTCCACATCCTAGACTTCTTATGCCGATTGATTACGGAGTTCCTGGTTGCTGGAAAATGCACATTAGGCTCACTTGGTTTTACCTGTGAACCAAGAACAGGGTCACCATTGATTGGAATCAAAAGAGATGTGAAGGGTATCAAATTTTCAGGTTTAAAGGACTCTAGAGATCTACTATTTGCAGACACAATAGCTTCTGTAGTAGTATTGAACTCACTGGCCAAATTAGAAATTGTGTCGCCTTCAATCACAGGATAGGAAAGCAAGAGTCTTGACTTCGGATTGATTTCATATTCATATGGGCAGGAGCATCTCAAAGGCAACAGCAACCGGCGTTTTCCCTCAAGACCCCATGGTGACACCCCAGGATTCTTCTCTTGGATTGCTTTACAGGTTGTCAAGCCCTCCAGAGACTCTGCAATGCTATAAAAGCTCTCCCCTTTGAGTGTAGTTCTTGTCAAATTGGCCTGAAAGAAGCCATTCTTACATTCACAGTCAGCTGGTATCAACAGAGGCTGATCTTTTGGGAGAAACTCTGTGTCAGCAGAGAAGCCATTAGCTTCAGCAATTGAAAACCGATTGAGACCCAAGTAAATGCTGAGGTTGGAAAGAGATGAGTAATATGAATTAGTACGAAGAATCACATATGTGCTGCATTTGTCCTGCAATCCTTTTCCTCTGCAGCGATACCCAGAAGCATCAGGAGATGTAGTTTCACAGCTGAGCAAGTTCTGTCCAAGAGCAGAGGCAGCTATGCTGGTGAATAAAACCAGAGCTCTTAGGTAGAGCACAGTACTCAGTAGAACTGCCATGGAAATAAACACTCAGTTCAACGGAACAAGAGGGACTAAAAAACTCCTGAGCTTACTTTGAGAAGGTGAATATTTTGGATCCATACAAGAAAAGAGAGATAAAAATGATTTAAAAGTAAGAACTTTTGTCTTTGTTCTCAAGGAGTGCGGCAGAATTCTTGGTGTTTACAAAGGTAATGTAATTTTTATTTCTTGGTCCAGTTGTTTTGCAACACCAAGCCTTGTGAGTTGATTCCAGTGGCCGGAAATCAAAGCAGACACTTTTAACTACTTCAAAGGAATTCTTGGGGCTGCACAACTTCTTTGTGTCCATACAATTCCATATTTCAGGATTACCAAAAAGATCTTTTTCACATATAGATAGAGAAAATTCTTTTTTTTTTTTTATCTTAAATTCTAGATAGAGAAAAATCTTTTAAATGAACAGATAAAGGTTAAAAGTTTCTCCAAGCTAGAGTTTAACCCAAGATGATATTTTAAAAGAAGTGAAGGAATCATTAACCAGTTACATGAATACATGCATGCACTGACAAATTTCCAAGCATTTGTCCTACAATTCCGAAAGGTGATATCTGGGGACCCTCCATTT